TGATGACATTTTATTGACTCTTAATTTAAGGTTCCTTTCTTTAGAAAGGGTAATTAACAATGGATTCTTGAGTCCATTGGAAATCATGAACCCACATAAAAATTAAAACCCTCTACTATAGGGTGAATTTGAGGGATCAATATGCAAAACAAAGCTATCTAACTTACTTGGATGTGCCTATATGCAACTAATTAAGATAGATAATTTTGACCCACGCTTGATCTACATGTCGGCAACACCCCAAGTTGTGATGGGCCTGATCAATCTCCCTCCCCATGTCCTCTATCTCCCTTCGAGAGACTTTAAGAAGCATGACTCGATGTCAGGAGAGCTCGGTATTGGCCTTGACTTCCTCAGCCGATTGGATTAGCTCATGCTCCATCTTCACTCGGCTTTCTTAAGTTCATCCAATTCGCTCCTTCGAGTGGCCAAAAACTTGCCCAACTCATGGGAATCCCTATATACTGTCATCTCCTCCTAGAGCTTGACGAATAGCTCATGGGCCGACTCAAACCTACTAAACAACTTGGTTTCCACAAGCAAGCCTTTGGCAAAGTAGCTCCGAAGAATCTAATGAAGGCCATAGTCAGGTACCCCGTTCAAAAGTCTTGGTCATGAGGAGGTTAATTTGATCAAGTGTGCAGGCCTGGTATAAAAACAAAATTTCCTGTTAGCTCCCCTTCATGTTGGGGACTGATCTTGGCTGACCTAATAAGGATAGTCCTCAATGTCTCCCACTTAGTGGGAGGGAATTTGCCCAATACCGGTGCCGGAAAAATGGCCACACCAAACCGACCCCCTAAAGGAACTTCCCGAGAAGCCGACTCTTCCGCAACGACCGACTCCTCTCTACTAGCTGGCTCCTCCTTAGTAACTACCTTCTTCCTGGGTCTCCTCGAAGGCTCAGAGGCCTCACTTGCTACCCAAGTAGATGACATCAAATGGAGAAGCCTCTGAAGCTAAAACCCCACTAGCTGACATGAGCATGGGCTCATTCACCTTGTCCTCGAGTGTAAGAAGGGCCTGCACTCTTCCCCTCAACAGGGCGATGGTCCTTGGCGATAACCTTCTTCCTCTTCCTCTTTCTCTTCTCAAGCGTCTCACACCAAGAGGTGGAGGTTGCTGAGTCAATGTCGAGTTAGGCCGCGAGCTTGGCCAGATCTTGGTGAAGATTTTAGACTTCCTCCTCTATTAATTCAGCATGCATGTGCTATAGAGATTCCAAGGAGAGATCAACATGAGGGGTCACTTTTGATGATACTTTAGTAGCCAGTATCATCAAAAGTGCAGCACGAGCAAGATCCTCCTCCATAGCCTTAATAATGGGGATAATGGTAGCCCGAAGTACAACATTGTTAAAAAGTTTCTTGCATTGATAAGACCCCTTATTGGCTCAGGTCTTCTCCAAGCCTTGCTTCTCCACCTTGGAGAGAGCCTCTGCTTTTAAGACCGCCTTCTTGATCTCTGGCCATATAGGACAAATCAAAATCGAGTCATGCCAAAAGAAAGAAGAACTTTTCCCTCCATTTTTCATTAGCATCGAGATGTCCCAGACCATCCAAAAATCTCCAGTAAAATGCCCTCACCCCTACCAGCCTTTGCGCACAGCAGATTACCCAGAATCCCTACAGTCAGCTCGACCTCCACTCAGTAGCAAATAATAAGGAATGTAACTAAAAAGCCATCAAATTGGGCTTCAACTACGCTAGTGATATTCTAAGCACTCATAATACCCTCTGGAGAAAAGGATGCAGAGGCAAGCAAAGGCCAAAGTCAAGATGGTACTGATACATCAGCACCAAGTCTCCTGCATGTTCGTTGACAACATGGTCAAAGGGAGGACAGACATCATAAGAGCTAGGGATGCCATGCGCCTTCGGCCATCTCATGAGATCATCATGGAACACCAAGGATTTGTATGAACAAAGTACGAAAAATCCGCCACTCATTGCAAATTGGAGAAGATCGTGAGCCAGAAGCAATCAAGACAGATGATCAGGGTTCAAAAAGTCAAAAATGTAGAAAATTCTAGGGCTGGAAATTCATATAGCATGACAAAAAGAAGAGGAGAAAACGATATTTATAGTTCTTGATGAGCGACAAGTGGCCTAATTTGAGCGGTGAGCTCGAACCTCTAAGGTTGGCTGACAATTCTCATCAATTGAAGCATCCTCCTATTTGGAAGGACATAGTCCGCACAGACATCAACACGACAAATCACATCTATTTTCCATAGGTCAATTTGAATCCCTTGCACGACGAAGAATGAAATAATTCAGTTTCTCTCGAATTTGGCTTCCCCGAGTCCAAGTGAAAGGGGCCTGAAAATCTCTAAGTTTAACAAGCCCTTAAAAGTTAGGCATATATCAAATTAGTAGGCTATGTCATGTGAGTGTGACCAGAAGGCCCAGCCTGGATGTAAACACAGCTCAACCAATCGAGCTGACTTTTCTAGCAAACCAAGTCTGTGAAGAAAGGCTTCTTCAAAGTTGGAATCCAACAAAGAAGTCTAAGTCCTAGCCGAAAGGCATCTTTTGGTCAAACTCCACTAGGGAACCCAAAGCAGGAGTGACCTATCAGTCTCGTCAACATTGTTAGCATTAAATACATGGTCAGTCAATGCCCATGCTCTCTTGGCCAGTCGTCATTGCATTAAATGCATGACTAGATATCATAATGACTCCTCAGGCGTCGCCCGTATTTCTGCTATTCCATCGCTATCACATTAAATGTGAGAAAAACGACTCTTCACATCCACCCAATCGATCGTCCGCGCGTAGAAAGTAGAGGAAAAACGCCTGCTCTGTCGGTCAAGTCTGATTACCAATGTGCCCCCGCCCCCACAAATCCTCTACAAATAGCGGCCATTTCCACTATACTAAGGTATGCCGGATAAAAACCCTAGACTAGATTCTGCATCTGCTTTTCTGATTGCTTCATCTATCCACTAACTTGAGCATCAGAGGGCATACCGGGGGAAATCTCCTTTGGACCTCTAACTTTGTTAATTGTGCAAGGATATGTTTCCCACGGTTTATCAGCCATCAAAGAAGATAGAGGGACCCAAACCTCCTCCAAAATTCTTCAGCTCACAAATTAACTTTCTCACGTAAACAATATTGTACATTAAAAGAAAAAGGAAAAGGAAAAAAAGGAAAAGCCGTGATGCTTGCTTTAATTACTATTTTGTAAATGAGAATTTTATTTCCTAATTTGCTTATTTCACAACATACAAATTTCCTGGACCTTCCAATGGTATAAGTATTAATTGTATACCATGACAGTCAATAGTAGTATTTGTTGTTTTTCCCCCCTCTTCCAGGTCATATTATATGTCCTTTAACTTCGATTTTGAAATTAGTCCCTCAAATCTTGGCACTGCTCTGTAGTCCCTCCAATCTAAATATTAGTTATTTCAAGGTAGTCCTTTTGTCAGTAATTCTTTTCTAAATTGCTTGTCAGGTTGTGTTAGTTGTTGACCACCCGTGATCACATTTCTAAGCAGGCGTGGGAGCTCAGGTTCGGAGTTTAAACGGGTTCAAAGAAATACTTTTTGGGGTTTGGAGCAAATCAAATCAAATAAAAATAGATTCCGTGGAATTGACATTGCAGTCTGTTTCTCTTCGACTACAACAAAACTGTTTTTTTATAGCGTTGAATGATAGCGTTTATGTTGTAAGTGCTATAAATTGTATGTGACTTATTTTTTAATAGCGTTTGAAAAATTTTAAACGCTATAAATAATTGATCACATTTTTTTTTGTTAAGCCGCGTTGAAATCTTAAGCGGGAGACTGAAAAATAAAACCGCGCGTTGAAAACGAGGGAGAGATTGGTGTTATATTTTCGTTTCCTTTTATTTTTCTAAAACCCCCCACGAATAATCAGTTCCCGTTCCTTTTCTTTCACCCAAACCCTAATAGCCCTCCGACTCGTCGCTGTCGCCTCGGAGTCGTCACCGCTGCCGCCTCCGACTGGCTGCTCGCGCATCTCGCCGCGTTTCCGCCTCCAAACCGGACGCCTCTTCTTCTTTTGCATCACCGGAGACAGCACCCCTCCTCGGGCTCCTCGTCTCTCGATCCACCGCCCGGAGCCCCTCCTCTTCTCTCGTCCACTGCCCCGGAGCCCTCGCTCTCTCGTCCACCTCCGAAACCCTTTTCTTTTGAAGAGTCCGTGCGATTAATTTGAAGATCCGTGCGATTAATTTTGAGAATCTTGAAAGGTTTAAGAGAATCTGAAAACCCTTTTCTTTGATTTTTGATGTCATTTTTGGGTAGGTTATTTTGTTGAGATTAGTGTGATGAATTTGTGGTTTATTTGTGATGCCCCAGCAGCACTTGGAGCTCAGGCGAGGCACATCTGAAGAACAGTATTTCCTTTGAAATTCTTGTTGAGCTTTAAATTTGATAAGCTGCGGCTAAAGCAGTTAATTTTGTTTTACTGTTAGGCTAATTTGATGCCATAAATTGCCATATTACGTTTGTTTTATGAGCTGTTCAATTTTAGTCTGGGTTTAGGATTTGAGTTTATTATATGTTTCATTCGAATGGTATACTTGGTATGATAATGAGAATGGGTTTGGGATTTTAGGCTGGGTTTAGTTTAATTTTGTTTTTCTGTTACTATGAGACAATCAACAAGCCATCCAAGCTTATAAAGTTATAAAATTTAACTTTGTAATGGTATACAAAAGGGACTTTATACACTATATCATCTAGTGCAAGAGAAAACTAACACCAGTGCAAGAGAAAACTAAATCAGTTACCAAATCCTCAAACCATTCCCCATGCATACTTTCCAATTTAATTGGAACAACACCAGACTTCCACGTCTTGAACATTCAACATGAGAGAACACTACTAGTAGGTCAGCAAGAATATATGGAAACCACCAGTTAGTTGTCATGCAAAAGGGACTTCATACCTTATATCATCCAGTTTATTTTTGTTTATTTTTATTTTCATATGTTGACATTAGTTTATTTTTGTTTTCATATGTTAGACATTGCTTGCACAAATCTTCATTGAAAAGATGAAGGAAAAAGAGTGGGTGTGGCTCCACGGGTAAGAGTCATATCTTAATATGTTGGTTCACCAATACTTGTAAAATTGTAGTAATTTAACTAGATCTGGAATGTATTTTGTTCTTGCTCCTTTTCTTTGAAAATCATAGATCCACCCTCGAGTACCAGCAAAAAGCATTACAATTTGTAAAGACAGCTGAAAAGAATTTGGGATTTCCTACAAGGATGTTCTGCCCTTGCACGGAATGTCGTAATATGAGCCATCAAGATGGAAGTACAATTTTTGAACACTTGGTTACAAAGGGGATGGATCTTTCATACCGAATGAAATCACATTGGAATAAGCATGGAGAGAAAAAAGAAAGTGGTGAGAAGCTTGATTATGAAGCCACTAAGGACGAGACATATAACTTATTCCAAGCTGCCTACTTTATAGATGAAGAACTTGTTCAGCCTATACCTATTAATGAACCTTCTGAACATGGACATGGTGACGAGTTCATAAGGAGACTAGAAGAAGCACAAACTCCTTTGTATCCAGGCTGCGAAAGTTACACAAAGTTGTCAGCTATTGTAGATTTGTATGGACTCAAAGGCAAGAGTGGATTATCAAGTAAACATTTCAATGAGTTGTTAGGTATCATTAAACGTATGTTGCCAAAGGATAATGTTTTGCTAGATTCAGCCGCTTCAATTAAAAGCTTCCTCAAGATATTTGACATGGGGTATGAAAAGATTCACGCTTGTGTGAATGATTGCTGTCTCTTTAGAAAGAAGTATGAGGAACTGGACAACTGTCCAACATGTGGTGCCTCAAGATGGAAGATAAATAAGCATAGTAAAGAAATCAGAAAAGACGTTCCAGTTAAGGTTTTGAGATATTTTCCTATTATTCCTAGATTTAAAAGGATGTTCAGGTCTTCACAAATGGCTAAAGATTTGAGATGGCATTTTGATAACAAAAGCAGTTCAGGTCTTCACAAATGGCTAAAGATTTGAGATGGCATTTTGATAACAAAAGCACAGACGGGAAAATGTGTCACCCTGTTGATTCTTTAGCTTGAGACCTGGTTAATGATAAATGGCCCTTATTTGCAGCTGATCCACGCAATCTCAGACTTGGACTTGCTACTAATGGTTTCAACCCGTTCTCCATCTTAAGCTCTAAATATAGTTGTTGGCCGGTAATGCTTGTGAATTATAATTTGCCTCCTATGTTGTGCATGAAGAAAGATAATATTATGCTAACATTGCTGATTCCTGGTCCAAAGCAACCGGGAAACGACATAGATATCTATTTGCAACCACTTGTAGATGATTTGCAATTGTTGTGGGAGAATGGGGTTGAGGCTTATGATGCATTTAGCAAATCAACTTTCAATTTGAAGACAATGTTGATGTGGACTATAAATGACTTTCCAGCATATGGAAATCTTGCTGGCTGTTCTACAAAAGGAAGAAAAGCATGCCCTATATGTGGGAAAAATACACATCATAGATGGTTACGCTTCAGCAAGAAGTTTTCATACATGGGTCACAGGAAATTTCTGAAACCCTCACATCCATACCGAAGAAAGAAATCATGGTTTGATAATAGTATAGAGCATGGCAGCAAGCCCAAAGCCTTAACAGGTCACAATATTTCTGCTGTTCTAAATGATTTTCCAAATGATTTTGGAAAAGGTGGAGACAAAAAAAGAAAAAGGAATAATAATAAGAATGATGGTGATGATGATGAGGATGAGGATGACACAAGTGACATTGATAATCAGAATGAGCTTACTAGGTGGAAGAAAAGATCTATCTTTTTTCTTTACCGTACTGGAAGGTTAGTGTTCTGTTTTTTCTTTATTTCATATTTTTTATATATTTTGTTTTAGCTTTATAATTGCTTAATGTATTTCTTTATTTTTTTATTTGCAGGAACTTCTATTACGTCATAATTTAGACGTGATGCACATAGAGAAAAACATTTGTGAGAGCATAATAAGCACTATGTTGCATAGTGGGAAATCAAAAGATGGGATAAATGCTCGTAAGGACTTGGAAGATATTGGAATTAGGAAAGACTTGCATCCAGAACAGCGGGGAAGCAGATTGTACCTTCCACCAGCACCACATACATTTTCAAGGTCTGAAAAGAAAAGATTTTGCAAGAGGATATGTGACTTCAAAGGGCCTGATGGTTATTGCTCAAATATCGGGAACTGCATAACATTGGAGGATTGTAAGATTATGGGGCTTAAATCTCATGTTTATCATGTCCTAATGCAGCAATTGTTGGCTGTTGCTATAAGAGGATTGTTACCGAAAGAGCCTAGAAAAGCGATAATTCAATTATCTAGATTTTTCAATAGATTATGCCAGCGTGCTATTGATAGAGAAAAGTTGCTGGACCTTGAGAATGAGATCATTGAAACTTTGTGTCAATTGGAACGCTTTTTCCCGCTGTCATTTTTTGATATCATGGTACATTTACCGGTTCATCTAGCAAGAGAGGCACGCTTGTGTGGTCCAGTTCATTTTCGTTGGATGTATCCTTTTGAGAGGTTAGATTTTTTATTATTCTTTTTCATGCTGAAATCCATTATGAAATTTTAATTTGATCATGGACAAGATTAAATTCTTTTATTCAGGTACATGAAGACACTAAAAAAATGTGTCCGAAATCTTGCAAGACCTGAGGGGTGTATTGCAGAGTCATACCTAGCTGAAGAGTGCATCGGCTTTTGTAGCGAGTTTCTAAAACAGTCAATACATGTGAAGGAAAAAGAAGTTCGCAATGACGAATTTGAAAATGATGTCATTTTTGAAGGTCGTCCTATATCTAAGACTACTTCAATCACACTTACCGATAAAGAGAAAGATATTGCACATCGTTCAGTATTACTGAACACAGCAATAATGGATCCATTTTTAGAGTAAGTACATTGCTATTTATGTACTTATTTAGTTTGCTTTTATATTTATTAGTTTTATTTTATAATTCATATGGTCTTGTGTTCTTGTGTTCTATTAGTATGCATTTGGAGGAGTTGCAAGCAAAATACAAACAACTTGAAAAAAATCAGACCTTACTTTGGAAGCGGCATACTGAGAAAATTGCAGAATGGACAAAAAATAAGGTTATTTAAAATTAATTATCTCAAGTCTGATCTTGTATTTATTACTTAGCTAAGGTACACCATTTAACGCTTATATTAATATTTTGTAGATTCCTATTGACTCGAATGATCATTCAAAGACATTAAGATGGTTGGCATATGGTCCTAAAAAGAGTGCACTATCATGTAAGGGATACATTATCAATGGGCTACGGTTTCACACAAAGGATGTTGACAGGGAAACACAAAATAGTGGGGTGACTTATGATGCAATAACCATGTGTAGAGCAAGTGCAAAAGATACTGCACAAGTGGCTGATCTGGTTTCATATTATGAAATATTGACAGATATCATTTTACTAGACTACCATCTATTTTATGTTCCATTGTTTAAGTGTCATTGGGCCAATAAAGGAAATGGTGTTAAGGAAGAAGATGGATTCACACTTGTAAACTTACAGCAGAGTCAAGTATCATTTGCAAGAGATCCATATATCCTAGCATCTCAAGCAAAACAGGTTTTTTATTCAAGAGAAGATGATTCGTCTAATTGGTATGTAGTAATGAAGGCACCACCAAGAGGTTACCATGAGTTGGAGACAGATGATGAGAATGCAGATGCATCTTTTTTGCCACAGGAAATTGAAATGGATATTGATGATTATGAGACAGAGAGTTATGTCAGGGTGGACTGTGAGGGACTACTTGTGTGATTGGAACTAGTTGGTAAGGAGGTTGATTGTTGATCATACTTTAAAGTGTTTGATTTATCTTGTATTATTGGCTGCTACTTTATAATAATTTTGGTGTTGTTCATGCTTTAAATGTGTGTCACTGTGTTTATTTGTGATTTTGATATATGTATAATTTGTTTCACATATGAAACCAGGTTTAACTATATAGATACTTACCTTTATTTTTTCTAATACAGATAAACGAGGATGGTTGGTGAGACTACAAACATAGGTCGGCGTAAAAGGAAGAACAGTAAGGTAACTGGTGGAATGTCACAAGACTTGGATGCGAGGGATGTGAATGCCATGGAAGGCCTTACGCAAGTCAGTCAAGAAGGTACCCAAGATGGACCAGTTCCAAATATTCAAATTCCTGAAGAAGATATGGTCCAAGAAGATGATACAGCTGAAGATGCACCAACACAAGATACAGTTAAAGCTACAAGAGGCATAAAAAAGAAAAGGGGTCCAACAAAAAAGAAAAAACTTGCTAGGGACCCTGCGAACCGAATTCAGATTTAATTTACTGATTCTAGTGAACCATATGGACCCGGATCAGTACACTTGTCATC